CCCCACAAAAAGGTATTAATTATAGTGTTGATAATTTTAAATTGACTTTTTGGCATATATTGGCAAATTGCTCAAGTCATATAGAAATCTGGAGAAAATAATAATTTTTAAAACATTAATATGACCCAAAAGGTTTAAAAGTAACTAGGACTATGTTTTCAGACAGGTTTTTTACAATTATCGCCAGGTATCCTGTTTTTGACAGCCATTCATTTCAATGGACTGCCAAACACACACGAATGTGAAAAAAAGTATGCCAGGCAAGACTTAAATATTTCACTGCACAAAAGCTCATGGAACTGTAGTACCATACGGTTTAGTTGCTGCAAACATGCTACATGTGTTAGTTTTCTGGATGTTGTTCATTAACAATTAATGGCACCTGCACGTATCTAACTAGGGCAGCACTTTCCCGTGTGGTGCAGGTAAAGCACACAGAAACACACCTTTCCTGCACTGTGTCCTGGTGTGAATGGCCCTAAAACTTTTGCTGCTCTTTCCTGATCGAAAATGTTTAGGTATCTTCAAGTGAAGAAATACTTAAGTTTGCATAGTCCATTCTCAAATGATATTCAAAATTTCACAGCCTTTGAACATAGGTGTTTAAAAGACCCTAATTCCAAATGAATGGCTTCTCCTTGTTCCACGTACTTCTACTCTCCAAACCTATACGGCTAAATAGGAGGAGGAATTGGAACGGTCTATGCAGGTGGAAGGCTAGTCCCAAATAAGGTAGACAGCTAAGTTACGTTCTCTGAATGTACTGGCCTTGGAAACCAATTTTAAATTGTTATGCCATGGGTACCTAGTTTCCTCAAGGGTAGGTAAATACACTGAAAATTCCTCACCATTGTGCTTTCAAGGATGCAATGAAATGGGTCTCTTTCTGCATATCATGCCCACAGCTAGAGAATTTTGGCAGACTGTTTACAATATGCTACAGGAACTTTTCCTTTGCAATCTCACTGCAAACCAGATAGAGGCGTTCCTTCTCAGGAAACCAGAGGCTGTTACACACGCTTAGTTTAAACAAACAACATTTATTTTAACAGCCACAAAACAATACTTTGTGAAAGCATGGAAAATTCCCATACTGGACTCCTCACAAGTTAGGACCTGAGTTTTCTGGATGATGTGCAAAGATAAAATGACAATTTATTTTAAATGATAAACCGACAATTTTTTAAATTATCTGGTTCCCCTGGATCCAGCTTTAATTCCCCATGATCTTTGAACACCGACTTTTGCATCTCCAGCCCTCCCAAATGTCCTAACGAAAGTTAACTCTGGAGATGTCTGGCTCTCTGCACCAGTGGACTCCATTCCCTTTTACTTTCTTTACTTTTCTCCGCTTGTTTCCTTTTTTTTCCCCTTTCTTTCATTCTTCTGTATACTCCAGCGGATTAGAATATTTTGATACATATACAAAAGATGCCTTTTCTGGTGTCCTGTTCTGCCTTTTGTCACATACAATATCGATGCCATTGTACTGCACTGCGCTGGAGCATGTTGTGATATTCTAGATGTCTTTTTGTTAACTTTCCAATAAAAATATTGAACTGAAAAAAAACTGCAAATGTATGTTTTGCAGTCTACCGCTTGGGGATCATAGCTGTGAATGCCTTAAGTCAGGGGTCCTCAAACTTTTTAAACAGGGGGCCAGTTCACTGTCCCTCAGACCGTTGGAGGGCCGGACTATATTTAAAAAAAAAAAAAACTATGAACAAATGCGGACACCGTACAGGAGATGACCAGAGACTGCGGACATAGTACATGAGATGACCAGAGACTGCGGACATAGTACATGAGATGACCAGAGACTGCGGACATAGTACAGGAGATGACCAGAGACTGCGGACATAGTACAGGAGATGACCAGAGACTGCGGACATACGACAGGAGATGACCAGAGACTGCGGACATACGACAGGAGATGACCAGAGACTGCAGACATACGACACAGAGATGACCAGAGACTGCGGACACAGTACAGGAGATGACCAGAGACTGCGGACACAGTACATGAGATGACCAGAGACTGCGGACACAGTACAGGAGATGACCAGAGACTGCGGACACAGTACAGGCGATGACCAGAGACTGCGGACACAGTACAGGCGATGACCAGAGACTGCGGACACAGTACAGGCGATGACCAGAGACTGCGGACACAGTACAGGCGATGACCAGAGACTGCGGACACAGTACAGGCGATGACCAGAGACTGCGGACACAGTACAGGCGATGACCAGAGACTGCGGACACAGTACAGGCGATGACCAGAGACTACGGACACAGTACAGGCGATGACCAGAGACTGCGGACACAGTACAGGCGATGACCAGAGACTGCGGGCACAGTACAGGCGATGACCAGAGACTGCGGGCACAGTACAGGCGATGACCAGAGACTGCGGGCACAGTACAGGCGATGACCAGAGATGACCAGGGACTGCGGGCACAGTACAGAGATGACCAGAGACTGCGGACACAGTACAGGGATGACCAGAGATGCGGACACAGTACAGGAGATGACCAGAGACTGCGGGCATAGTACATGGGATGACCAGAGACTGCGGACACAGTACAGGGGGGACCAGAGACTGCGGACACAGTACATGAGATGACCAGAGACTGCAGACATACAACGGCGGTGGGAATACTGGGCCGGCCGCTCCATAAGATGCAGACATTTCCCCCCAAGTGTGTTTTTATGGAGCGGAATAGTGCCCCATCATTGGCGTCAGTGGGGGGAATAGTGCCTTATCATTGGTGTCAGTGGGAGGAATAGTGCCCCATCATTGGTGACAGTGGGAGGAATAGTGCCCCATCATTGGTGTCCAGTGGGAAGAATCGTGCCCCATCATTGGTGTCAGGGGAGGAATAGTGCCCCATCGTTGGTGTCAGTGGGGGGGGGAAGTGCCCCATTGTTGGTGTCAGTGTGGGGGGGGAATAGTGCCCCAACATTGGTGTCAGTGGAAGGAATAGTGTCCCATCATTGATGTCAGTGGGAGGAATAGTGTCCCATCATTGGTGTCAGTGGGAGGAATAGCGTCCCATCATTGGTGTAAGTGGGAATAGTGCCCCATCTTTGTGTCAGTAGGAGGAATAGTATGTCATTGTGTCAGTGGGGGGGTAGGTCCCAATATTGGTGTCAGTGGGGGGTGGAATAGTGCCCCATCGTTGGTGTCAGTGGGGGGTGAAATAGTGCCCCATCGTTGGTGCCAGTGGGGGGGAGGAATAGTGCCCCATCATTGGGGGGAGGAATAGTGCCCCATCGTTGGTGTCAGTGGGGGGTGGAATAGTGCCCCATCGTGGGTGTCAGTGGGGGAGGAATAGTGCCCCATCGTTGGTGTCAGTGGGGGGGAGGAATAGTGCCCCATCGTTGGTGTCAGTGGGGGTGTCAGGGCTCCGGGTATGACCAGAGGTATGTGAACTGACGCAGGGAAACGCAGGCGGCTTCAGATATGTTATAAACAATATAATTTATTAATACTAACAATACAAAACGCAGTGCAATACTAAAACATAAACACAGTGCAAACAAACCAAACCAAACCACCCACAGATAACAATACATACAATGCAAGCGTAGTCAGGCAGGCCGGGTCAATAACAATCGGGCAGGTAGGAACAGGAGGAGCAGGCAGAGAGTAGTCAGGTCACGAGCCGGGTACAGCAACTAACGGGCAGGTAGGTACAGGGGGTCAGGCAGAGAATGGTTGGGGTCACAAGCCAGGGATCAAACAGGAGAAGTCAGCAGAGGTCAGGATCAAGCAGGGTCGGCAACAAGTCAGTCAGGCAGGAACAGGAATGCAGGTAACAAGATACAGGGGCCCATGGAAAAACACACACCAAGGCCCAGACTGCAGGTCTGGCCATCCCTTAAATACACCTCTGTAATCAGCTTCAGGTGTTTGGCTGACTGCAGGGTTGAGTCTCTGATTGCTGAGAGCACCCGCTGGCCAGCCCTGGTACTGCAGCCCACAAGGCAGGTGAGTCCCACCATTATTGGCAAGTCCATTCCTGACAGGGGGGGAGGAATAGTGCCCCATCGTTGGTGTCAGTGGGGGGGGGGAGGAATAGTGCCCCATCGTTGGTGTCAGTGGGGGGAGGAATAGTGCCCCATCGTTGGTGTCAGTGGGAGGAATAATGCCCCATCATTAGTATCAGTGACACCAATGATGGGTCACTATTCCTCCCACTGACACCAATGACACTTAACTTGCTGAACCCTGTTCCAGCATGGTGTTGCAGCAGCACCATCAGCATGGCACACTTACCTGTCAGCTGTCCTTCACTCCGGCACTCTCCCCGCACTCGATGTTCGCGGGGCCGCTCGACTCCGCCTCCTCGCAGGTGATTGGCTGCCTGTGTGCCTTTCCTGAGCTACAGTTCTGGCGCCCAATCACCGGTGAGGAGGTGGAGCCAAGCGGCAGGAGTAAGGGACTGGCCGGAGTGAATGAAGGAGCAGCGCTTCCTGGACTGGATCGTCATGGGACTGGGACCGGAGCCAGGTAAGGTACAGCAGCCCCCTGTACTTAGTGTCCCTTCCTCTCAGAAAATACGCCCCTGCCGGCAGGCCGGATAAATGGCCTCGGCGGGCCGCATGTGGCCCGCGGGCCGTAGTTTGAGGACCCCGGCCTTAAGCTATGTATCCCCACAATAGATCAAATTTCAGTGCAAGAGAAAGTTCTGACCTGTTCATTTTACAATTTTAAAAGCTAGACCTGAAACTATGTCATTTTAATTACAGCTATATTTAAATATCTAAATTGAATAATATGCAACAAAATCTATTCAATTTAATTTTGGCAAATCACTGTAACATAACATTTTTGTCATTTGACAAAACCAGTTTAGTGTTGCCCCTGTATATTTGTATAACTACAGAAACATGCTGAATCACTGTGACTAGGTGGGGCCAAATGTTTGAATAAAAACACAGACTCACCAGGACTTTAGAAGTCTTCTTTCTACAGCATTCAGTAGACTCCTAGCATGGCACCACAGAGAATCTTAATTACGGGATGCAACAGAGGAATTGGACTGGAACTTGTATGTCAGCTACTGCAACAGCCAAGCCCTCCTGTACAAATCTTTGCAACTTGTCGAGATCCTGATTCCCCTCAGAATCAGGTACAAATACTTTCTATTCTTACAAGTGTCTGCGTTGAATTTTGAAATATGTAATTAGAATGTAATATCATTAAAGTGATAAATCTTAGTGACATATTAGACACAAAGGGGATTGGTAGAAATTGGTAGTAAGAGTATGAGGCAAGTTCTTTCTCAACTGGTCCTGCTGCTCATACTGCTGCTCAGGGAAAATGTTGAATTAGAAGAGTTAGCTTTCTAAACTTATGTAATTATGTAAAAATCAGCTTCTATCTTTTATTTTTCAACACAGCTTGGAAAATTAAAATCAAGAATCTGACTGCATTCCAGCTGAGACAAAGATTTTTTCAGATGCTTTTGATTTATCTGTTGTATATAGTTATACAGGTATTTGTTTGTAATTTCTATTTTAGCTTTTGTAGCCACAGATATTTGACATTCTTATATGCCAGTATGTAAACTTTTTGGCAATTTTGTGCAGTTATTATTATTATTCAGGATTTATATAGCGCCAACAGTTTGCTCAGTGCTTTACAATATGAAGGGAGACAATACAGTAACAATACAGTTCAATACAAGAGGGTTAGGAGAGCCCTGCTCCTTGGATCTTACAATCTAAGAACAGTTCTGAGTATTTATTGGTGTATTTTCTCCTGATAAATTTTGTATTATGTAGCTTTGTTTGGTTTATTTAAAGTGATTGTAAAATTAATTTTTTTATTTTCAATAAAAAAAAAAGTATGTCTACTTGCTGTGTGTAATGGTATTACACAGAGAAGTCACATAGTTACAGTACATAGTTAGTCTGGCTGAAAAAAGACAGCAGTCCATCCAGTTCAACCGAAAAAAAAAAAAAGTTATAATCCTACACCCACAGTTGATCCAGAGGAAGGCAAAAAACCCAGCAAAGCATGATCCAATTTGCTCCTGCAGGGGAAAAAATTCCGCCTGATCCCCTGAGAGGCAATCGTATATTCCCTGGATCAATTTTACCTATAAATGTTAGTATCCAGTTATATTCTGTGTATCTAGGAAATAATCTAGTCCTTTTATAAAGCAATCTACTGAGCTGGCCAGAACCAACTCTTGAGGGAGTCTATTCCACATTAATTAAATCTCTTCTCCTCCAGGCGTAAAGAGTGCCCCCTTGTCCTCTGTGATGACCTCAGGGTGAATAACTTTACACCGATTTCACTATATGAACCAATGATGTAGTTATACATGTTGATTATATCCCCCCTTAATCTCCTCTTCTCAAGTGAGAATAAATTCAGTTCCTCTAATCTTTCCTCATGGCTGATCTCCTCCATGCCTCTTACCAGTTTGGTTGCCCTTCTCTGTACTTTCTCCAGTTCCCCAATGTTCTTTTTGTGAACTGGTGCCCAAGGTTAGTCCCTTACCTACTTTTCAGGGGTCCCCCACCTACACTCTCTGATTCTCCTCCTTCTCTAAATGCTCATTCAGCAAGCCATGTGTTGAGGGGGCACCCGTGTGGGCATGCTCCTGAGCCGGGCTGTGTGCGTCTGTAGAGACCTGTACTTGTATTTTTTTTGTTTTATACAAATAAAGGAATTTTTATCTTCTCTAGTAGTGCAGTCATCTGCTGTTTTGAACTTTACATTTGGATAACATGAGTAGATAATAATAATAGCAATTATTTAGCTGGTTTAAAACACTAAAAAGATTCAGATGCTCAGAAAACAAATCACTAATTGCTAGGATAGCTGCGACACTGACTTTTCACTGACCGTAACTCAAGCAACAAAAACATGAAAGGGGTGATTGCATATCTGCTACAAAATCACTTGTGGGACCTGCATCACCCAATGGTGTGAGTTTGACGGGTCTCTGAATGCAGGTGCAGCTCAGTCAACTCCGTGAATCTGCGACACACACAGTGACAGAATCAATCCAGTTTGATCCAACCTTCCATATCCCAGCTAGTGTCAACTGGCAGTTGCAGTCATCCATTCCAACTCTCTCAATTTGTCTCCCAGCTCGGGCAGTTCCCGGGGCACATGCCCCCCTGCCCTAGTTTCAGCCCTGGCTACACCTGTAGTAAGGGCAGTACTCAATTTGGTCAAAGCTGTATGATTTGTTTTTATGTACAGGCACATCTTATCTGCATATGCAGTTTTTCTGCAAAGGTGTCTAATTAGCAGTTGGGATATTATAATTTTTAACCACTTCAATACTGGGCACTTTTACCCACTTCCTACCCAGGCCAATTTTCAGCTGTCGCACTTTGAATGACAATTGTGTGGTCACTGTCCACAAACAAAATTTGTATCATTTGTTTTCACACAAATAGAGCTTTCTTTTGGTGGTATTTAATCACCACTGGGTTTTTAATTTTTTGCTAAATAAATGAAAAAAAAAGACCAACAATTTCGGGGGAAAAAAAGCGTTTTTCTTAGATTCTGTTATAAAATTGTGCAAATAAATAACTGTTCTTCATAAATTTAGGCCAACATGTGCTCTGCTACATTTCTTTGGTGAAAATAACTCAAATCAGTATTTATTATTTAGTCTGTTAGAAAGTGATAGAGTCTATAAACTATGGTATACCTGTATATCTGAAAATCAATCAATCCTGATGTACTGGTGACTTATCTAATTTCTTGAGGCCAGAAAATGTCAGTAAAGTACAGATATCCCCCAAATTACCCATTTTTGGAAAGTAGACAGTCCAAGGTATTAAGCAATTTGTTTTTAATTTTTTGTCATCAGTTTTTGGAAAATGAAAAAAAAAAAATTCACAATTTTTTTTTTCACATACTGTCTCCAGTACAGTACAGCATCATCATATAATTGGTGTGGCGGTGATCAGGGACACTGACTGGTGACAGTACAAAAAAAAATTTAATATTTTTTTAACACATTGTGACCAGAGTAATATAATATTACCATAGTAACATTGTGCTACTCTGGGAAAGTTATCAGGATTTTTTTTACACATTAAGATTGCTTATAGCAGTGAATTTCACTGCTTTAAGCAAGCATTTTACTGAATGACATCATTCAATTTTGTTTGTTGTGATTAGCCACAGCTAATCACATTGTACAGATGGGTTGTGATTGTCCCTGTCTGTACCATATGATCACTGTGACCAATCATAGCTAGCAACATAATTGTAACAATGAATGGCATGAATCAAAGCTATTCATTGTTTACAATTGTTATCTGATCTGCTGTGATTGGTCACAGCGATCACATGGTACCGGCAGTGGGCCAGTACACTGATCAGTCATCGCCTGTGTCCGGTGGAAACAGCTGGTGACAGATCATGCTTGCCTGATTGCCAAACGAGGCTCATTCCAGAAGGACGCCATATGACGCCCAACCGGAATGATGGAAGTACTGCCAAGTTGACGTCAAATTCCTGTCAAATTGCTATAGGAACCTGTTTAACTAAGACCATATACAAACTATGCCTTTTTTATTTTTTCAAGGACAAGTTCACCTTTGGGAACATGTTACATATTCCACCCATTTTTAGGATGGAACATGTAACATGTTCCCGTTTTTGCAGCCGCTCACCAATCCCTGCACTCCTTGTGACAGCAGGTTGAGGATCTTCTCCCCATACTTGCTGTCACCATTTTAAAAGAGCCCAGCTGTTGGCTTGTAGTTCCCAATGAATTACCAGGATGCTATTTAGCTCTCTAGGTGGTTTATTGTTTGTACATACTACTTTGAAACTAATGTTTCCCAAGAAATAAAGGAGGATTTTATCAGCATAACACAAGGCAACTTCATAAAATCACACATTTTTATTTCCATATAGTTAAAAGCAGAAAATTGTATAAAATTAATACACCATCTAAATTATATGTCTGAGATAGCAAACACCCAACCCTGAGATGGAGTCTGGAATAGGCATGCCTACAAATCATATACCAAACACATCATTGTATAATTTGATAGTTGTAACATAATTAGATTCTCTGGGTAATGCCACCAGCATCTCCATGCTCAAATTGTCAGAGCGTTTTGAGACCTTCCTCAGGACTGGTTGGGTTGGTGCTGCCGTAAACTGTAGAGAATAACACATATCTAAATATAGAAGTAAAAAAAAGAACACTATATTATATTACTTGTATGTTTAAGATAGAAGCACGCTTGCCTGATCAGGACATATGTAAAAAGTAGATGGTTAAAAAAGTCTTGGGGGTGGATGCAGGAGTATACAAGAAGGACATACCACCCCAAGGTGCAGATCCCCAGCGGATTAATAGGCAAATCACAGTTTAAGGGTGCAAGTATCATAGGCCCAACTAAGTTGAATAACAAACAAATATGGATGTAGGTAAAATGGCATGAGATGTATTTCCTGTTTAATGAAAGAGGTTTCCCAAAAACTCTCAATAACATCCAACTTACCACATACATTTGGCAGCATAGGATCTATAGAATCATAGGATTTACTGTTTCTTCCTGTCTTTGTGTAACTGCCTGCTCGTATGAGATATGAACATACACATTACACTGACAGTCTGCAAGAGTCCTGCATTGCAGCGATCTGCCAATTGTGGGTGCAATGCTTTTCAGGCTCCTAGTAAAAAAATAACACAGGTCTGCGACTAAAAAGCTGTTTGATTATTTTCATCTAATTTCCATGTATTTTGGTGTGCTTAAAAAAAATAAAATATTGAAAAAACTCCTAGACGTCATGATTTGCCACAGAATGCAAAATTGTCTTCAAATTTATCAAATATTTTTAATTTTTGGTATTTTTTTTATATTATGGGTTTTTAACCAAATTTAAAGTCCAAATTACTATTAATTCACATAAGTGCATTTAAGATATAAAATGCTAAAAAAAAACCTTAAAGGGGTTGTCCGAGTTGTGTAAAAAAAAAATATAGCACTGTAAATCTGATGGTGAGCAATATATACATAAGCTAAGCAAGTTTTAGGGAAAAAAAATTATATTTCCTCATTTTCCCTACTTCTCTTCTGGCCCTTTGTTGTTATTTGCAGGTAAACAATCTCTGCCCCTCCCCCCCCCCCCCCTGCAAAGGGTGTCAATACAAGTGCTGCTCTGAGTGACATGTCTGACTACTGGGATACTCAGCAGCATGCTGTATGTGTAAGCCTCAGCCCTGAGTCTGTGCTTCTAATGGTAGAAGGGGTTAATCTTTCCTGAAGAATCCAGTGGGAGGGCAGATAGCAGCAGCTCCGGTCAGTGCAGGGGGCGTGGCCAGCACTGTGACGTCTTGTGTACAGACACAAAGCTGCTCTCTCTGCAGTCCACACTTGTGCACGAATCATCATCAGGTTCTTGGTTCTAGGCTGTTCACACTTTTTCATCGCAGTTCATGGTTGCTCGTCATTCTTCAACCGTTATGTTATGGCTCCGCAAAAGTGTATTAATTCGCCAGACAGTTTGTTTCATCTGTGGCGAATATACAGTGTTGAAGCAACAGCAGAATATTACAGACTTTGTGAAAAAAGTATACTTTGCATACTTTGGACTAGAAAATGGAGATCAAGATAAAGTTTGGGCGCCTCATAAAGTGTGCAAACGGGGTGTTGAGGACCTCCGAAACTGGTTCAAGGGTCAGAAAAAATCTTTCCGTTATGGGATTCCTATGGTATGGCGAGAGCAAAAGAACCATAGTGATGACTGTTACTTTTGTTCATGCAATGTGAAAGGGTTTAATTCCAAATGGAAGCATTCCATTTAATACCCCAATCTTCACTCAGCAATTTGTCCCATCCCCCATGGCACAGATATGCCAGTACCCAAGCCCCCTGCTACCTCGGAAGAGATACCTAGCTCCGATGAAGGTGAAGTCATACTTGAACCAGATGACGAATCAAGTTCTGACTTTGAAGATAATACTAGACCAAAATTGTTTTCTCAGGAGAAGAGGAATGATTTGGTAAGAGACTTGAATCTTCCTAAAGATGCCGCTGAGTTACTCGGATCAAGGCTGAAAAGAAGGAATTTATTGTTGCCAGGAGTGTCATCTTCATGGTTCAGACATCGTGAAAAGGAGTTCGTTCCTTTCTTCGCCCAGGAAGACAAGTTAATTTATTGCATCGATGTCGAAGGTCTGATGGGTCAATTTGAAATCCAATATGATTCAGAGCAATGGCGTCCTTTTTATAGATTCTTCAAAAAGAAGTCTCAAAGCAGTTTTACTCCACAACGGTGGTTTTTACACTTCCAAACCTGTAGGTCATTCCGTACACTTGAAGGAAACCTACGAGAACTTGGAATTGGTTCTTCGTAAACTTAAATATGAAGACCATGGTTGGCAAGTGTGTGGGGACTTGAAGGTCTTGTGCATGCTGCTCGGGCAACAAGCTGGGTATACCAAATACCCTTGTTTTCTGTGTCTATGGGACAGTTGAGACTGACAAAATCACTGGACCAAGAAGAGTTGGCAGCCGAGGGTGCTAACAGCCGGTGAAAAAAATGTCCTCCGAGAAACTTTGGTACCTTCCCATAAAGTTCTTCTACCACCTCTCCACATAAAATTGGGATTGATGAAGCAATTCGTAAAATCATTTCCAAGAGAGAATGCTTCAAATACTTGGTCACCAAGTTTCCAGGCCTGTCGGAGGCAAAATTGAAGGAAAGTGTGTTCGTCGGATCAGGCTTATAGTTGATCAAGAGTTTGTCAATACCATGACGGATCCTCAAAAACAAGGGTGGATTGCATTTAAAGAAGTCGTACAAAAATTTTTAGGCAATAACAAAGATCCTCACTACAAAAAGATCGTTGGACGAATGCTGAAAGCATTTCAAGCTTTAGGTTGCCTGATGAGTTTGAAAGTGCATTTCCTCCAGTCCCACCTTGACTACTTTCCTGAAAATTTGGGAGCTGTGAGTGAGGAACAAGGCGAACGATTCCACCAAGACATTAAAGAGATGGAAAGGAGATACCAGGGAAAATGGAGCATAACAATGATGGCAGACTACTGTTGGATGCTTCAGAGAGACATTCCAGATGCTACTCACAAGTGCAAATGCACCAAGAAGAGCCTCACAGGGAAGAAGAATCGAGTTTAGTGTGTGTAGGTGAGCTCATTTCAGTTCAAAAAAGGGATTTTCATGAAAAAATTGTAATAAAACTATAATTTTATAAGTCTATTTCCATTTATTTTGAGGTATTTCCTTATTTAACATAGTTACCTAAATTGTCAGGAAACCTGATGTCCTATGAAAAAATGGAGGTCTTTTTCGGATTCAACGCACCAAAAATTATAAGGATTATGTGGAATAACCAAATCAGCTCTTGAAAAAAAATTTTTTTGCAGACCTGTGATTAATGCACATTTTATTACCTGCTAAAATAAGAGTATGTATTATTTTTTTTGTTACAAAGGTGAATTTATCCTTTAAGCCAGAGTATATTGCCTGTCACATTAATGAATGTAACATGACTAACAGCATCTCATGTCAGTTTTACAATCTTCTGTTTTGTCCATAAAATCGATTTATATTTTTTAACAGAATTTTTTAATATATTTTTACAGAAACTTAATGATCTTGCTGCCCAAAACCCAGGTGTTGTGGTGATTAAATTGGGTAAGTGTTCCAACTACAAACTAAATTAAAATTACAATACATTGTATAATCTTTAGCTAAATATCTTAGCAGCTAAGTCAGATCAAGGGTGTGTTTTAAGTTTTTGTCCATTAAATATGGGGTGTTTGATAAGATAAAGTTTGAGCCTTTGCTGGCATTCATTGTGTCTAATTTTCTCCAGACAATTACAAGTACAGGAAATATTATACGATATAGAGCTGTTTGCTTTTTCCTTTTGGGTGGTCAATGAAAGAACTGCTTGTATTGGACTAAAACCAACAGTCAAAAACAAAATACTGGCAAAGTACTTTACATAATTCCTAATGTAGTATGTAATCACATGTAGGCCTCAAGCAAGTTTGTAAGGCGGTGCTGGATATTTTTCTTTAGACCCTCACAGACAGCTGGACACCAGCCTTTATATACAGGTTCCAGAGCACCCTGAATTTCTCTGCCCCAACCAAATACCATCCTGTGCATGGATGGTGGCTTGAGGCCTAAACTTCCCATCCTCCTGGCTTTTATACTGTTAAGCTGGCCATAGATGGCTCGAATCTCAGCTGGTTCAGCAGGAACTGACTGAGATTCAAACCACCTATGGGAAGACTGATTGTACCCAAGCTGATTGTTGTACAACTTGGGTACAACCAGCTTGTCAGAGTTTTCAAGAGATTATTGCCGGCTACTAGCTGCTGGCAATAATCACTGTGTTCTCCCAGCAGAGACAGCTCTCCCCCCCCATTCCCCTCCCTCCTGGAAAACAAAGCTCCTCGGGAGGAATTCCCTTATCAACATGCCTCTCACTCCATTCCCCAGGCATTGGCTGCCAAACTTCTCTAGATATTCACAAGGAGACACATGGTTTTAAATAAAATACTGTACTTGCTTGAAATTAGCAAAGAAACATAACAGTCCAGATAATGGCAAATCCATGGTGCAAATACTGGCTTGAATTACATTTTCTTGCGTTAGTCAGGTGGTGTCTTGTGACTCATTCCACAAAGTGTCCAGACCTTCTTTTACTTTCTCGATTCAATCCCCTGTTATGGTGCACTACATTCCCAAGGGGGTAAGAGTCAGGGTAACAATTATTTTTCCTCAGATAATTCCAAAACTGGGCTCTCAGAGCAGCCACTCTGATGAGAGCACAAGCACCCTAAGCAGATCTCTTTCCTAAGCCTTCTCTTGGGAAGACCTTGAGACCTTGCTCCACCCATCTTAAAGAGTGCTTCCCGGAAGTACTCCACCAGAAGGAGGAGCAACTCTTAAAGTTGACCCTTTCCTAGATTCACCTGCCTACAAGTTCAAGATATGTAACCAAAAGTCCAAGTAGCTTTCCATTGGAATAAAAGGGACATTGAAGTGCATTCATTCTAAAGAAATGCAATCTGATCACATCTATGGGGACAGCATGGCTTTTGTGGGTTCTATCACCGACTAAAACCCTCTTACTGATATGTCAGGTCCAACAGTAAGAATGACATCATTATTGCATCCGTTTACAGATAACATGGGGTTGACAATTGCCTAAATTTGACCATACCAGTAGAATTTTGTTTGAATTTCTAAAAGGTAAAGCAAAACTAAATGCATGGATTTAACAGTTTCCCAAAACAGTTACATTCAAGGCATGCTGTGCATGATAACTTTGACAGCTTCTGGTGCTGTCAACTGAACTGTCAAGCCATCAAATGGCTTGTGTCTTGTGTGCAGTACCATGGAAACTACAGATCAAACAGAGTCTAAAGCTGGCCATATATGGATAGAAATGAAACCGTTTTAGCAGGGACTGTCTGAATTTCGAACCATGTATGGGCTGGCTGGTTGTACACAAGTCAATCTATTGAAAAACTTGTGGCTAATCAGGTTACTGGAAAATGTTATCTCAAATGGAATACAAAGGCTCAGCAGGAGGGATTCCCCCATTCACATCCAGTGTGTGGATGGGGTAACAGAGTAATTTTCTTTTGTTCAACCTGCTGATTGAACAAAAACAAAATGACTCATGTATGACCAGCTTAATAATGGCTGCTTCCTTGGCTACAAAGGATTGGAGGGTTTAGTTCTGCTTTATAGTATCAATTAGATGATTGTTTTTAACTGTGGTAACAAGGAAAATCAAAGAAGAAGAATGAGGGAACCGAGATGAGGAGGATCGGGGCTGCTCTGTGCAAGCAAGACCATTACACAGAGCAGGCAAGTATAACATGTTTGTTATAAAAAAAAAATATCACTTTAGGATTTTAAACTGAAGCTTAGTTTATATTGTCTTCAAGAAACATACTTTGTGATATGGATTGTTTGCAGTGAGTATTCATTTTGGATTCTTAAATTTTAAATATTTTTTTTGTAGAGGCCACAAACTCCCAGAGTATTCAAGAAGCCAGAAAGGAAGTAGAAAAACACCTAAATGGAGCTGGACTCAATGTACTCGTGAATAATGCGGGTATTATGACTGGAAGTTCACTGGAGTCAGCAAATGCAGATGATATGTTGAATGTTTACAACACAAATGTGGTGGGACCATTACTAATAACAAGGGTAAAAATGGAATTATCCAATAAATATGTATAATAAAGTGTATAAAGCGTAGATACAGAACACATTGTTAAAATGTGAACACATAGTTATTTCCCAAGGAGGGACCAGGTCTTCAAAAGTCTATATAAGTCAATTATTACTTATGTAACAAAGACAAGAACTGGTATATAAAACTTCCCTTTTTCACTGCCTTTTCTCATGTCTTCTTCAGTTTCTGCAAAATGAGGGTACAATGACATGCTTGTGTGCCTCAGTCTTAATGGTATGTTGATTGCAGTGGGATTGCATTTAAGGCTAGATTCATATTTGTGTATTGCGGGAATGCGTTAAAAATCGCGCCCTTTCCTGTAGCTCACAAAAATGTGCAGTCCTTTTGCAAATGCCCAGTGGTGCCATTATTCTTATTGGCCCCCCATGCAACTAGCTTGTGCAGGTACATTCACACATGCCAAAATGCATGTTAACAAAGTACCATGGGCTTTAGTGGGCGCAGTTTTTAAAAAATTGTCATGCACTTCTTTAGTGTGTTAATCACGTTTAGGGCAGTCCATTGAGATGAAAGAGCTGCCTTAAATGCGACGCACAAGAACATGCATGTATTCCGTCATACCTGCATAGATGTGAACATAGCCTAAATAAAAAATAAAGCACATATTACAAATCCTTGTGTCTCTCTAAAATAATGGGAGGAGCTAAATGCAGAACATAGTGATCTGGGTAGCATAAAATTAGATTGGGCCTCTTGCAAACTAAACGTTTAGCCCGTGTGCATCCAATCCTGGTATTTTAGTTTGGTTTTTAAAAAAAAAAATCTAAAATGCATGGGTGGAAGTGTAAATGAGACCTAAAGCTGAACTCCAAGAAAAATATAAAACAGCCCTGCAAGGCCTAAATACTTGTGTATGCCTAGGTGACATGGAAGTACAGTTTTAGTTACTCATTCCTTCCACACATGCTGGCTCCTCTGCAATCTCTGCAGCCTGTTTCTCCCCTGTGCTCCAGCAGCAGTCTGATACCCTCTGATGTCATCAAGACCAATGCAGGACCCATAGCCCTGCTTTGGGAATGAAGACACTAATAAATTGTCCAGTGCCAAAGCACGGGGGAGCACTGTCTGCTTGGGAGCCCAAGATCAGGTAAGAAAAAGTGCTTACCCCACTCCATAGACATAAACAAGCCTTTAACCCTTGTAATGCAGGAGCCACTCCACTGCAAAGGAGGGTTTTTACTTTAACTAGAGTTGGGCTTTACCTAAAGTTTGTACATATTTGATTGTCCATTAGAAGCATACTTTTTATATCTGAAGATCACGATTAAACTTGAAGTACCACTTCAGCCCATTTTTTTTTTTTTAGGTTAGGATAAACTAGAGATAATTACACTTGTCTGTCTGAGTCTTCATTCTGGAATATTTCCTCCACTTTCTGTCCCTGTGATACTGTACTTTTTAAATGAAAAACAAAATCAAATAAAAAAAAAAAAGACAACCCTGTTCTGGCAGCAGAGGGGAGAAGGGGTGGAGAGGGGGGAAATCCCTCCTGAAGGTGAAGATTTGCTTTAATTATTAGTAATACTTACAAATTAGTAATAATTACTAGTAGTACACAAGTGCACTTTAAGAGAGATGCAATTCCAGTAAGCCCTCCCTATGTGCATGGTGCTATCGGGTAGTAATCCCATGAAAGCGCGATGACGGTGATTTCCCATCCAGCCCTGAGGAAGTCACTCTGGAGAAACTTGGACAGGTCTGCTGACGTCGTCATGCTAGGAAACAACTGTGTCAGGGCTGTGTTGTCAAAGTTTGTCTGGTGGATTTTTATGTAGCTATGATATTTTGATCTTCACATATGTAGGATTAATATTTTACTATTTAATAAAGCTGTTTTACAGTATTTTACTTTTTTTATATTGTTGGGGTCTCTATCTCAAGAGAATTATTTACAGTACAGATGGGTTAAGATAGGCGTTGTACAGTGGAGTATAAACCAATGATAGACCTTCCATACCTAGGGGATCAATTCTAACTGTGAGCTGTTTCCTGATGGGGATTGACACTGGGTGTTTTTTATGATCTGATTAGTGACACAATGGTGGTTGGAACACTTTTTCATCTTTGGACTCTAGATGTTTGCATGAACTATTGGTTGGACATTTATTTATAGAGTTGAACTGATTATATGGGCACTCCTTCATGTGAATGGATTTGATGTGGTAGGAAGGACATTTTTTCCCATAATTTAACGGGACTGATAGATTTTAAAGGCAGCTAATGATGAAAAAATTATATTACTTGTGTAATGCTAAAGTGTGAAGGCAAATCAGTTATTATATGACAGCTTTCCAAAAAAAATTTCATACTTACTACAAATAGAACTACTGTTCTTTGTACACATCCTGTTACAGGGTCATATGAGAAATCTTGTGATGGAACGTTCTATATAGACATTACTGGATTTTTTAATCAGGTTCTTCTTCATTAAAATAGTTTTGCATCCTGAAAAAACTACACTCCCTTGGCCTCAGAGATTCTGCTCTCTCCTGGCTCTCATCCTACCTGTCACAACGCTCTTTCAGCGTTACCTATAATGCTACCACCTCCCCCTCACTCCCCCTCTCTGTTGGGGTCCCTCAAGGTTCCGTCCTTGGGCCCCTTCTCTTCTCCATCTACAACTTCTCCCTTGGCCAACTCATACACTCTCACGGCTTCAACTACCACCTATATGCCGACGACACACAAATCTATCTCTCAACCCCCCACCTCACCACCTCAGTCTCCGCCCGAATCACACACCTACTGAGCGACATATCAGACTGGATGTCGCTCCACTTCCTTAAACTGAACCTCTCCAAAACCGAGTTTCTTGTCTTCCCCCCAGCCCGGACACCACCCCCCATTACTTCTCCATCACATCCAACAACGCCACCATCAAACCCGCCCCGCAGGCCAGAGTACTTGGTGTCATTCTGGACTCCAACCTATCCTTCCAGCCCCAAGTCTAATCTTTAACAAGCTCGTGCAGACTCCACCTCCGCAACATCGCCAAAATACTCACGTTCCTAACCCCAGAAACCACTAAACAGCTCATCCATTCCCTCATCGTATCACGACTCGACTACTGCAATTCCCTCCTTACTGGCCTGCCTCGCCGCTGGCTATCCCTGCTTCAGTCGATCCTGAATACGGATGCCAGACTCATTCACCTGTCCAACCGCTCCATTTCCGCCACCCCCCTCTGCCAATCCCTCCACTGGCTTCCGATTGCGCAACGGATCAAATTCAAAATCCTAACACTGACGTACAAAGCCGTCCACCATACTGCCCCGAACTACATCACTGACCTAATATCCAAGTACCACCCAACACGCACATTCCGCTCCTCACAAGACCTCCTTCTCTCTAGTTCCCTGGTCTCCTCCTCCCATGCCCGCCTCCAGGACTTCTCCAGGGTGTCACCCATCCTCTGGAACTCCCTGCCCCAACCCATTAGATTATCACCTACTCCCCTCTCCTTTAGACGCACCCTGAAAACCCACCTCTTCAGGGAAGCCTACCCCACCCCCTGCTAACTTGCCGACCTCCTCCACTCTTCCTACCACCCCATCCCCCACAGCTATCTCCTCCTGTGCCACCATCCCCTCCCTCCTAGATTGTAAGCTCGAAAGAGCAGGGCCCTCGATCCCCTCATGTTTTGCATTGTATTGTTGTTGTTCTGTCACATGTTCTGTCCCCCTTTGTAATGTACAGCGCTGAGCAAACTTTTGGCACTTTATAAACACTGTATAATAATAATAATCTGCAAAAAAATGTATTTACTCAAGAATGTCAAGGTAAGCAAAGGAAACATTACGGATACGGTAAATAACCAAATATATATTCACGCTTTATTCCTTTATACTGTAATGGAAATCCAGTTAAAGGTTTTCTAGTTTTTAATAAGGCGGGGAAAGGTTTTTATTGCTGTGTTTCCCCATTAGGCCGCAGTCATACCTCTCGTGGTGAGAATGTATGCAATTTTTAAAACATGATTTACATGAATGTCACACACAGGGCAGCCGATTCACTTTAATGGGCTGTCCAATGCACGTTTGTTGCCCAAAGGACGTTCCTCCACCTTTTTAGGGGACAAGCTTATTGACCATATTTTGTCACAATTGCCAATAATTCTGTCGTGATAATTGCAGCAGAATTCTTTGGGCTGGCAGGAACTCAAAGGGGACTAAATTTGTCCCCTCTCATGAGCTCCAGGCAGCCATCTTGGGGAAGCCAGTGTCTTCCATTGGATGCCAAATTCCAGTGAGATTTGGACATCCATCTGCAGTATTGGGTTACCAGGAGTGTGGGAATAGGTCAGGGACAGAGCCCACATGATGGAGCTTAGGACAAGTTACCTAACAAGTAGGGAGAACACATATTCTCCATACAGGGCCCTCTTGCCCAAGAGCTTGTTTAGTTGCCTCATACTGCTAGCTGGACCTTCTACTCTTGAGGACTCAGAGTTCCCTACAGCAGTGATTTCCTCTCTAAGGAAGAGCTCCTTTTGCAAGAAGCAGCCTGTAAGTCTACACTGCATTGCTTGTGTAAAGAATTAACTTAGGACTAGTTTACAGTGACGTTCTACAGAGCAATCCACAGTGGATCTCTTTTTTAGAGGGCATTTGACAGGTGGAGAAAAGACATTAGGTCACCTCCTCACCATCTGTTTTAACCCCTAAATCATGCACTACCGCACCACAACCATATGCATTACATGCAGTTGTGGGACAGTTGTGGCCACAGTAAGGTGAACGGCTGTGTTTAGTGGGCTCTACTGCCTGCCAAGAACAACAGGGGGACCAATTTTGCTGCACAGGGATGCAAAGCATCATGACCTAAGCATAAGCACACCCCTGTCCACTGTCTTTGCAACTTAAGGTAGGGCAGTCGGGGGATGGTGAAAATGCTACTCAACCACGTGTTTTTACCACCACCCCCAACCGCAATTGTGGACGAGCCCTTACTGAGAACACTGCCTCTCTGTCTGAACAAACAAGTGAAGTAAGTTAGAATTTCACCAGTGCTGCTGTGTAACCCGCTGCATTTCAGCTCTGTAATTTGCCTTTTATCTCATAAAGCCACATTAAAGAAACCACGTCATGTTGATTTCTCATATCGAACACTAAACATACTGTATGTAGAAAAAAACAGTTTTGAAGTTGAATTGTCACTTGAATGGTAATGATCAAGAAAATAAAGTGAACAATAGGAGAATAAAATGAGGAATAATCATTCTAATTTTGGAATAAGACACATGAATACCTTCTTTTATAAAAAGTGGCTCCACCGATTTGGTTGGAGGGATTTTTGGTTCCTTCAGTCCAGGGGTAGGCAACCTTGAAGAGGTGGAGTTCTATCTGATCAACATGGGAGAAATCAAAGATCACTGGGCACAGTGTTGCCTCCTCACACCCGGTTTAAAACTTTAATTGCAGAACTACTGTGTCTCAGTCACGTGCATTTCATGGCAATCATGAGACTAAATCAGGTGGTGAGGAGGCAACATATCACTTCCTCACCATTTGTAAAACACACTCAGATCGCTTTTCAGAGGAGCAGCAGTGCCTGCTGCACTTGTGAATGAGCCCTTAGTTGCATTCAGCAATGGCACCCTTAGAGCTCAGTCACACGTGGGGGGGGGGGGTTGGTCTTAAAATCCTGCTGTTGAGTCTGGTGTTTTACTGCCCTCAATCCCTAACCTCTTTAGCTGCTGAGGCAGCACCCAAAGGTGTACACATGCCACATCAGGAATTAAACCCCCTGTTGCTTTTGGTGGGTGCTACTACCTGCCAATCACTACACATTCAAGTAAATGGGGCCACTCTGCAAGTGTCAATGCAACTGCATGCTTGTGCGGGGTCCAAGGGGTTAAAGCAGGTGGTGAGAATGCAAGACAACGCTGCCTGCTTTAACACTTTGTTTGCTGTACTGCACAAGGTTGCAGGGCACTTGCAGAGCAGATTTTTTTACTTGAATGGGTCATGCTACACCCACAAACCATGACAGGGCATATAACTCCTGCTGCAGCTGTGACATGTGTACACCCCTGGTCACTGCAGCTGGGGCAGGGTTGGTCAAAAATATCCTAACTATGGGGTTTTACCACCCCCCAAATTGCAAATGTAAATGAATCCTTTCTGTTCCCCCTATAAGGTTGCTTTCACACTAATGTGCTACGGTTTACCTGCACCGTGGGTGCAGTGCATCTGTGACTTTCCTTGGTTAGGTGCGCTTTTACATATACTTCTATTGCTGCATATGCTACAGACATGGTGCACTTTCTAAAACCACACCAAAACTCCAGGAGTTTTGGTGCACTTTTAGAAAGTGCACCAATGGCTCTTGCTCCCTACTACAGCTCCAACTTTACAAGAAGTTTCTCTGTATTGCACTCTGTTTGATGCTCTGGAATGGTGGGTCAGCAAGCCCAAGCCGCAATCTACCAGTCACCTGGCCAGAATCTACTGGTTGCTGATCTCTGCTTTAGTCCCTTCTCACTGTAACTTCTATGATTATACTTGTACAATATGCTAAAACATATCTATTTTGTGTTTTGTTTGCAGGCCTTTTTGCCATTTTTGAAAAAGGCAGCAGAAGAGAATCCAGGAAAGCCTTTAAGCTGTGGCAAGTCAGCTTTGATAAATGTTTCCACACTGTTGGGATCTATTGAAAAAACACCCGAGACCTTCACTCCATATCCAGTCCTTTCCTACCGCTGCAGCAAGGTATCTTATCTACTTTCCCAGGGGTGGATCTAGGCTTTGTGAGGCCTTTGGCAAAACTTAGACATGAGGCCCCACTCATACCCATAATGGGAAAAAATAATTCAAGTGCTAAAAATTAACTGGGGGATGGGTAAGGCAACCATTGGCGGTTCAGGAGTTGGGCTAAATATTTAGGTGTGCTGTAAGCAAATACAGTACATACCAACCACAGGCTGAGATATGAGATGCCAACCACCACACTACTGTGACTCCACTCATCTGCAGCACTGATAACGCTGTCCTGTTGAGCGCCCCTCCTTGTAGGCCCAGCACTGATGATACTGTCCTGTGGATGGGAGGGGTGATGTGTGCGGATGCAATGTCACTCTCATTGGTTGGGGAGCAGAGCTCCAGAAGGGTTACCCAAGAGGGGAGTGTGAATGGGCTCTTAATGCTGCCTTAGCACAGCAGCGTTAAGGTCCCCTGTCCTTTAAAACTGGGGTAATAAGTTAGGCCAGTGTGTCTCAATCTTTATACCTTTGAGGAACCCTGGCGAAAAGTTGGAGATCTTGGGGATCCCTGAAATAATGTTCACATCTACAGCTCACGAAATATTGATATGATCAGCGAGTTGTTGATAATAACAATTATTTTTAGAAATATCATTAAATAAAAGAATATTAAATTGTACAAATTTAATTTGTGAAACTCGTGCTTTCTTTTTCTGCAGAGATGCTCCATTCTGGGTCCAAATTATTATTATTTTTTTAATATACAGTATTTATAAAGCGCCAATGGTTCGCTCAGCGCTGTACATTACAAAGGGGGACAAAACATGTGACAAAACAATACCAATACAATGCAAAACATGAGGGGATCGAGGGCCCTGCTCTTTTGAGCTTACAATCTAGGAGGGAGGGGATAGTGGTACAGGAGGAGATAGCTGTGGGGGATGGGGTGGTAGGAAGAGTGGAGGAGGTCGGCAGGTTAGCAGGGGGTGGGGTAGACTTCCCTGAAGAGATGGGTTTTCAGGGTGCACCTAAAGCAGAGGAGAGTAAGTGATAATCTAATGGGTTGGGGCAGGGAGTTCCAGAGGATGGGTGACACCCTGGAGAAGTCCTGGAGGCGGGCATGGGAGGAGGAGACCAGGGAACTAGAGAGAAGTAGGTCTTGTGAGGAGCGGAGTGTGCGTGCTGGGCGGTACTTGGATATTAGGTCAGTGATGTAGTACAGGGCAGTATGGTGGACAGCTTTGTACGTCAGTGTTAGGATTTTGAATTTGATCCATTGCGCAATCAGAAGCCAGTGGAGGGATTGGCAGAGGGGGGTGCCGGAGATGGAGCGGTTGGAAAGGTGAATGAGTCTGGCAGCCGTATTCAGGATCGACTGAAGTGGGGATAGCCAGCGGCGAGGCAGGCCAGTGAGGAGGGAGTTGCAGTAGTCGAGTCGTGATATAATGAGGGAGTGGATGAGCTGTTTAGTGGTTTGTGGGGTTAGGAACGTGCGTATTTTGGCGATGTTGCGGAGATGGAGTCTGCACGAGTTTGTTAAAGATTGGACTTGGGGCTGGAAGGATAGGTTGGAGACCAGAATGACACCAAGTACTCTGGCCTGCGGGGCGGGTTTGATGGTGGCGTTGTTGGATGTGACGGAGAAGTCAATGGGGGGTGGTGTCCGGGCTGGGGGGAAGACAAGAAACTCGGTTTTGGAGAGGTTCAGTTTAAGGAAGTGGAGCGACATCCAGTCTGATATGTCGCTCAGTAGGTGTGTGATTCGGGCGGAGACCGAGGGGGTGAGGTGGGGGGTTGAGAGATAGATTTGTGTGTAGTCGGCATAGAGGTGGTAGTTGAAGCCGTGAGAGTGTATGAGTTGGCCAAGGGAGGAGGTGTAGATGGAGAAGAGAAGGGGCCCGAGGACAGAGCCTTGAGGGACCCCAACAGAGATGGGGAGTGAGGGGGAGGTGGTAGCATTATAGGTAACACTGAAAGAGCGTTGTGACAGGTAGGATGAGAGCCAGGAGAGAGAACAGAATCTCTGAGGCAGAGGGAGTGTAGTTTTTTGAGGAGGAGGGAGTTGTCGACTGTGTCGAAGGCCGCTGAGAGCTCAAGGAGTAGGAGCACTGAATAGTGGCCATTAGCTTTGGCGATTAGCAGGTCGTTGGAGAGTTTGAGTAAGGCAGTTTCGGTGGAGTGTAGGGGACGGAAGCCAGACTGTAGGGGATCGAGGAGGTTGTGGTCGTTGAGGTGAGAGCTTAGGCGGGTGTAGACTAGGCGCTCGAGGAGTTTAGATGTAAATGGGAGCAGGGAGATGGGTCTGAGGTTGTTCGGTCATTGGGGTCCAGGGAGGGCTTTTTAAGTATGGGGGTGATGTGTGCATGTTTCAGAGGGGAGGGGAAAGTGCTGGAGGAGAGGGAGAGATTAAAGATGTGGGTAAGGGGGCATAGGATGGAGGGGGAGGGAGGTCGTAGGAGTTGTGAGGGGATAGGGTCGAGGGGGCAGGTGGTGAGGCGGGCATCAGAGAGGATCTTGGAGACTTCCTCGATGGTAGTAAGGTCAAAGATGCGGAGTGTTGTTGGGGGGCTTCAGTATGAAGAATGTATGGTGGGGTGGAAGTGGAGGTCAGAGCAGTGGTGGGGCCGTGGAAGAGGGGTGATGAGGGGGTAGTTGAGTGAGGGGGAACGGGATTGGAGGGAGTTTGAGCAGCGACGAAGTCCCTGCGGCTTATGTCGAGGGAGAGGGGGGATGAGGGGGTAGCTGTGTGAGAGGGGACGGGTTGAGAGGGTGTGTGAGTTGCTGCGATGTCCTTGCGAATTGTGTCAATCTTGTTTTTGAAGTGATTGGCAATCTCAAGGGCAATGAGTGAGGTGCTGGGTGGAGGTGGGGGTGGCGAGAGTAGAGAGTTGAAGGTGGAGAAGAGTCGGCAAGGATTGGAGGAGAGGGCCTTGATGAGGGTCAGGAAGTAGGCTTGTTTGGCTGCGTGGAGGGAGGAGGTGTAGGTGTGGAAGGCAGAATTGTAGTGGGTGAAGGCTTGTTGGGATTTGGTTTTGCGCCATAGTAGCTCCAGGGCACGACTGTGTCGTTTGAGGGTTTTGGTGTGATCAGTCTGCCAGGGCTGGAGTGGTTGGGGTCTGATGTTGCGTGTGAATAAAGGCACTAGTGAGTCGAGGGCTGTTGACAGCGCGTTGTTGTAGGCAGTCATAGCCAAGTCAGGGCAAGACAGGGGGAGGATGCTGTCGTGGAGTTGATCAGCTGCAGAGTGGAGGGGGCAGGGTTAAGGTTGCAGAGGTTACGGCTGGTAGTAGTGTGACATTTGGAGAGGTAGGCGTTGGAGGAGGAGATAGAGAAGGTAATCAGGTTGTGGTCAGAGAGAGGAAGGGGGTGTTAGTGAGGTTGTGGGGAGCGCAGCAGTTGGAGAAGACGAGATCAAGGATATTACCGTTGGAGTGGGTGGTGGATTGTATGCACTGTGCAAGTGCAAAGGAGGAGGTTAAGTGGAGGAGATGGGATGTGTCTGGGTTGTTGAGGTTGACAGGGATGTTGAAATCCCCAAGGATGATGGTGGGTAGCTCAGAGGAGAGGAAGAAGAAGGGTAGCCAGGAGGAAAAGTCATCCAGGAAGCGGGATATGGATCCAGGAGGCCAGTATATCACAGCAATCTTCAGGGGGGTTGGGGAGAATAGTCGGACGTAGTGGGCCTTGAAGGAGGAGAAGGATAGGGAGGGGGGTTTGGGAGGACTCGGAAGGTGCTCTGTGGTGACAGGAGCAGACCAACCCCACCACCTTTACGACCGTTAGGCCTGGGTGAATGGGTCCAGGTGAGACCTCCGTAGGAGAGTGCAGCAGGGGAGGTAGAGTCAGTGGGCTAGATCCAGGTTTCCGTGATCGCTAGGAGGTTGAGGGAGCGGGAAACAAAGAGGTCGTGGATGGCGGTAAGCTTGTTGCACACCGATCGGGCGTTCAGGAGTGCACATGAAAACGGGGGTGAGATTTTAGGGAGCAGGGGGACAGATACTAAGTTACGGGGGTTGCGGCAGGACGTGGAGGCGGGATGGTGTTGTGCGGGTGAGGGAGGTGGTGGAGGGCCAGGATTTGGGGAGATGTCCCCCGCAGTTAGGAGGAGGAGAAGGTTGAGAAAGGTGGCATGGGAGCGGGATGTGCAGGAGCGTGAGAAACTACTAGTGGAGGTGTTCGGGTCAGTGGGAGAGTGGAGTAATAGGAGGAGGTGGTGGGTGCCGTAGAGGGGCGAAGGAAGTAGTGAGGACACAATATACAAATGTTTGGGAGGAGAAGAGGGATATAGTGAATGGATTTTGGGAACGGAGGAGAGGAAAATGAGGAGGAGTGGAAGAGGCATTTTGGGGAGGTGATGAGAGCAGTAGTAGGGAGATGATAGCAATAATGGGGAGATGTACAAGTTTTGGGGTGGAGCAGATGGGTAAAGAAATGAGATTTCGGAACAGAGGATAGTAATATGATAAGGAGAAGAGGGGACGTATTATATAAAGGTACACGGAGTGGGACTCAGGCATGTAAGAGATGTTTCCCAGGGTGATTGCTTGCAGTCTATCCAGCGTGCAGTAGTTTCTTGCTGTTGTTGTGTCTTCCTGCTGCTTAAGTTCTCCTGCTTTAGTTCAACTGCTGTGTTTAACTGCTTCGCACTCCTTCAAAGCAGCACTCGATCAAAAGCAGCACCCCCATCAGAGACTGTGCCCCCCATCAGTGATTGGGGTAAACAGTGTGTGGGAGGGCAGTAGGGCAGGGTACAGGGGCTCAGGAGGGTACACTGCATGAAGGGTAAACAGTGTACATTATGTGGATACAATGCACATTATGTGGGAGCAGGGCACATTACATGGGGACAGGGCACAAGGTGAATTACTTGGAACAGGGCACATTACATGGGGCAGAGTATAGGGCATATTACACGGGATAGTGCACAAAGCACATTACATGGAACAGTACACAGAGCACATTACATGGGACAGAGCGCAAGGCGCATTGCTTAGGATAGGGCGCATTACT